CTAAATATTATCGTATCGAAGGCCTTACGTAGTTAGTTATAGAGTAGTAATTCGAGCCGTTCGCTAGGGCGGCGCGGAGCGATAATACGCGCGTACGGTTCCTTCTTAGAGGTTAGAAAAAACAACACCTTTTAYACGGACTACTTACYRATATAGTAGGAACGATATCGTCCTAATTAAGATAGTTTAGGGGTAGTAGAGGGTGCTATAGTACTAATATTAGTAGTAGGGCCCTCTAGCTTCCCCGCGGAGGAGAGCGAGGGGTAGTACACGTATTAATTAAAGCATTCTACGAGGGCCTTAATTATAGCACTTAAAAACTACTTTTAAAATATATTTTCTATTTTATAATTACTTGCTTCTATACCTAAAATATAACTCCTCCTTGCTTTATACGTTCGTACAATTTGTCCCTATAAATATCCTACGATTTATATTACTATCGCTCTATGTTAAAGAAATATACTACCCTAACCCTAACCCTATAGTTTTTAGCAAAGGTTTCGCTAAGGTTTACAACCTCTTACTACGCTAATTCCTTTCCCGTCTACCCTCTACCCTATTATACGCATATTCTATATAATAGGCCGCTCCCCTTCTATCCCCCCTAATCTTTATCTAAAAGTCGTTAAACTCTAGAATAATAATGCGAGTATTACCGACATTTAAACCTTCCTCTATTTATAATAGCTATATGCCTCCGAACGGACTATTCGTATAATCGTCGTAGAGAACGGTAGCGAACCCCGACAGTCGTTAAAGAATAGTCTTTATAATAATCCCCTCCTTCGCATCCGAATAGCCGAACTCTTCTACCTCGAAGCTCTACTAGATGCGTATATCGTAGACAAATTAAACGAGGAGGGATTTGCGATTAAGTACTATACCTTTATACGGCTTCGGCGGAGTATAGGCATTAAGAAACGACTAAGAGAAGGAGAGTTCCTTAAGCGTTAAGAGGAATATAAAAAGATTATAAAGAAGGAGATTAATCGCTCGAACCTTAGAGCATATAGAACAACATTGCTATAAACACACTTCCGTATAACCGATCGTACGCGGCTTACGCTTAGTAGGTTAGTATATTTATACGATATATATCTATAGGGTAGAAAGGGGTTTACTAATATACTACTACATCGTAGGAAGCGACTATACGAGATAGCCCGCGAGGTCTATCCCGCTAGCCCGTATAATAGGGCTACGAAGTTTATACGTCGCCGTAGGAAGTATATTACGCCTAGCCCTAATACAGTCTAGAGTATAGATGCATATTATAAACTTAAGGACTATAGCTTTTAGATCTATGCTGCTATTAATGTAGACACACGGTTTATTCTATATACCTATCTTAGACCCTCTACCCGTATAATAGTATCTATACTATCTAACTTTGCGAAAGCTTGTAAAAAGCTTACGAGAGTACCTCGTATTATTCGGACAGATAAGGGTAAAGAGACACTCCTTATAGCGTAGGCTTAATACTAACACGTAAGGATTATTCGTAGGCGTAAAGTACGCTTTCGCCGCTACTTTATGTTTAGAACAAGCACTCCTAATGTCCGTATCGAGGCATAGTAGGKCTAGCTTATACGAGGAAGGTTTAAGGTATAGTATATAAGTACATAGAGTATATTATCTATATATGCTTTAGCAACGCTCCCGTTATATCCGAATCTAATTATACGGGTTAGGCTAATTAATCTTAATATTATAGGGCTTCTTTGTAATATTAAAGAAGAAGGGGTAGTTTTATAAAGCAAAGAAGGCTAACCGCATTACTATAAAGTATATCTATACACCTATTATGCGGAAAGAACTAGCCTCGTTCGTATATACATAGAACAAGCACCCCGTACGAAGACAATCTAATAGACCGCACGTAAGGGGTAGTGTACTAAGCTATTACTATAACTAGGCAGAGAAGGAGGGAAGGCTAAGTGTTAGGTATCTAATCGATAAGGCCTACTTTAATAGTCTTATAGAAGCTTGCGCAAAGTAGGGTACGTTTGTACTAGCGAACGCACATAATAGATCTTAAATTATTTGCTAATATATATAGATTCTAAGGAGTATATTCTATAGGAGATGCTTAAGCTCTACTTAAGTATTCTAAAGACAAAGGGCTTTCCGCTCGGTCGACTAAGCTTATAT